AACAAATGAAGTTTTAAAAAACGCTTTCCATGTCTGGCTAACATCCATCAATGTTTGAACTTTGATGTAAAAGCAAAGTTAGGATGAATTCAAATGCAACCAACAATTAAAAATATACAAACAAAAATTACAGATAAAATGTTCCCTATATATGTCAGACAAAAGCCTACATTAAATTGCCATGAAAAGCTAGAAAACAAAAAAAGTAGAGGGTAAAAAAAAAAATTATTAACAAACCCCTGTCGCCCAAATCGCAATGCTCCTACTTTTAACAAAAAATTTCAAATTTTTTGCTTCAAATTTAGACATTTCCGTTCTAAGCAAATAAAAAAATAAATAACTTACATTAATTTTTTACTGTTAGGGTGATATTTTTCCTTTTATCTTGATTTCAAAATAAAAACCAACAAAACTGCCTATACGTTCCCATTTTACTTGATCAACAGCAACAAAAACCACTGAATTTAATTTTTACTGCTCAAAATTTGAAAAAACCTTGAAACTTGATTTGTTCATGCAGACTTAATCCTGCTTAATCACAGTGACAGCAACAGTAAAAAGATATGGAGTGCTGAAGCTGAACTCAGTCACTCTCGCAAAACTTTAAAACCAATAATCATACGAACTGTTCTCGGTTGGTTGAATAGCCAGGCTGTCTGAAGCGCAATCTGTTGTTATCCAATGTGTGATTTGCTGAGCTCACTTTTTAAGTTCACATGGTTTTCAACAAGACCGACGTGCACCAAATTACCTTTAGTAACAAAGAAAAAGTAGACTTTATTCTGATAAAAAACCCGATTTTTATAAACAATCTTATTTCCGCTATACCACCACATTCATCCCACAAAATATTCTCGTTCTTCCACTCCATTCGTAACCAAAAGACGTTTTCAACTTATTCTCCAAGAATTAACAAAGTATAAAAAAAAACAAAGTTTACAGACTGATAAATCACTGATTAAACTGATGATCAACATAAAGTTTTTAAACACAAAAAACCCTTTATTTAATTTAACAAAAAAAATAAATAAATAAATAAAAGAAAAAATATAGATGAATAAATAAAATTTAAACCAGTTCATCGCTAAATATGGGATGGGAAAACAGTAGGATGCCAAAGGAACCTTCAGATGCAGATGAGACCGAAGACGCTACCAGCAGTGAAAAGAGGAGGAGTTAAAAAATATCGTCAACAACGCCCAAATCTCCAGCTGTTAAAAGATAAAACTTCGTCATGCAGTCCTGTCGTACACAACAGCCACACCACATTGCAACAAATTTTCCAAGAATGAATTTTACCAAGCAAAATAAGGATTCTGAAACCTAAGCAAGAAATCGCC